CGACATCCGGACCCTGGAGCTGCTCCTGCGCCTCGTGCAGTTCCTGCACCCCGACTTCGCCCTGGGCTGGGTGCTGCAGGTGGGCACACCTGGGCACACCTGGGCACAGCTGGGGGCACCTGGGGGCACCTGGGCACACCTGGGATAGCCACAGACACACCTGGGCACACCTGGGGCACTCACCTGGGCACACCTGGGATAACCACAGACACACCTGGGCACACCTGGGGGCACCTGGGGGCACCTGGGCACAGCCCCGCCCACCTGCCCTGTGCAGTTCCTGCACTCTGACTTCGTCCTGGGCTGGATGCTGCAGGTGGGCACACCTGGGCACACCTGGGGGCACCTGGGATAGCCACAGACACACCTGGGCACACCTGGGGGCACCTGGGCACACCTGGGGGCACCTGGGATAGCCACAGATACACCTGGGCACACCTGGGATAGCCACAGACACACCTGGGCACACCTGGGCACAGCCCTGCCCACCTGCCCTGTGCAGTTCCTCCACCCCGACTTCGCCCTGGGCTGGGTGCTGCAGGTGGGCACACCTGGGCACACCTGGGGGCACACCTGGGCACAGCTGGGATAGACCTGTGCATACCTGGACACAGCTGGGGGCACCCGTGGGGGCACCTGAGATACACCTGGGCACAGCTACAGACACACCTGGGCATAGCTGGGGGCACCTGGGCACACCTGTGTCACACTCACCTGTCCCAGGAGCTGAAGGGCACGCTGGCAGTGTCACACACACCTGTGTCACACTCACCTGTGTCACACTCACCTGTCACACACACCTGTCACACACACCTGTCACACACCTGTGTCACACACCTGTCACACCTGTCTCACCTGTGCAGGAGCTGAAGGGCACGCTGGCAGTGTCACACACACCTGTGTCACACACCTGTCACACTCACCTGTCACACACCTGTCACACACCTGTCCCACCTGTGCAGGAGCTGAAGGGCATGCTGGCAGTGTCACACCTGTGTCACACACCTGTCACACACCTGTCACACACCTGTCACACACCTGTCTCACCTGTGCAGGAGCTGAAGGGCACGCTGGCAGTGTCACACCTGTGTCACACTCACCTGTGTCACACACCTGTCACACACCTGTCACACCTGTCTCACCTGTGCAGGAGCTGAAGGGCACGCTGGCAGTGTCACACCTGTCACACACACCTGTCACACACCTGTCTCACCTGTGCAGGA